AGAAGGCACGACAACACCTCATCCCCCTCAGGAGGCTGAAAAGGTTCAGCATGGGCTCTCAGATTCTCAAAAAGTTATACAGATGCACCATTGAGAGCATCTTGACTGGTTGCATCAGCACTTGGTATGGCAACTGCTTGGCATCCGACCGCAATGCGCTACAAAGGGTTGTGCGTACGGCCCAGTACATCACTGGGGCCAAGCTCCCTGCCATCCAGAACCTCTATACCAGGCGGTGTCAGAGGAAGGCCCTAAAAATGGTCAAAGACTCCAGCCACCCAAGTCATAAACTATTCTCTCTACCGCACGGCAGGCAGTACTGTTGCACCAAGTCTGGAACCAACAGGACCCTGAACAGCTTCTACCCCCAAGTCATAAGACTGCTAAATAGTTAGTTACATAGTTCACCAAATAGCTACCCGGACTATCTGCATAAACCCTTTTTGCACTAACACTTTTGACTCATCACATACGCTGCTGCTACTGTTTATTACAGTGAGGGAAAAAGGTATTTGATCCCCTGCTGATTTCGTACGTTTGCCCACTGACGAAGACATGATCAGTCTATAATTTTAATGGTAGGTTTATTTGAACAGTGAGAGACAGATTAACAACAAAAAAATCCAAAAAAACGCATGTCAAAAATGTTATGAATTGATTTGCATTTTAATTAGGGAAATAAGTATTTGACCCCTCTGCAAAACATTACTTAGTACTTGGTGGCAAAACCCTGGTTGGCAATCACAGAGGTCAGACGTTTCTTGTAGTTGGCCACCAGGTTTGCACACATCTCAGGAGGGATTTTGTTCCACTCCTCTTTGTATATCTTCTCCAAGTCATTAAGGTTTCGAGGCTGACGTTTGGCAACTGGACCTTCAGCTCCCTACACAGATTTTCTATGTGATTAAGGTCTGGAGACAGGCTAGGCCACTCCAGGACCTTAATGTGCTTCTTCTTGAGCCACTCCTTTGTTGCCTTGGCTGTGTGTTTTGGGTCATTGTCATGCTGGAATACCCATCCACGACCCATTTTCAATGCCCTGGCTGAGGGAAGGAGGTTCTCACCCAAGATTTGACAGTACATGGCCCCGTCCATCGTCCCTTTGATGCGGTGAAGTTGTCCTGTCCCCTTAGCAGAAAAACACCCCCAAAGCATAATGTTTCCACCTCCACGTTTGACGGTGGGGATGGTGTTCTTGGGGTCATAGGCAGCATTCCTCCTCCTCCAAACACGGCGAGTTGAGTTGATGCCAAAGAGCTCGATTTTGGTCTCATCTGACCACAACACTTTCACCCAGTTCTCCTCTGAATCATTCAGATGTTCATTGGCAAACTTCAGACGGCCCTGTATATGTGCTTTCTTGAGCAGGGGAACCTTGCGGGCGCTGCAGGATTTCAGTCCTTCACGGCGTAGTGTGTTACCAATTGTTTTCTTGGTGACTATGGTCCCAGCTGCCTTGAGATCATTGACAAGACCCTCCCGTGTAGTTCTGGGCTGATTCCTCACCGTTCTCATGATCATTGCAACTCCACGAGGTGAGATCTTGCATGGAGCCCCAGGCCGAGAGAGATTGACAGGTCTTTTGTGTTTCTTCTATTTTCGAATAATCGCACCAACTGTTGTCACCTTCTCACCAAGCTGCTTGGTGATGGTCTTGTAGCCCATTACAGCCTTGTGTAGGTCTACAATCTTGTCCCTGACATCCTTGGAGAGGTCTTTGGTCTTGGCCATGGTGGAAAGTTTGGAATCTGATTGATTGATTGCTTCTGTGGACAGGTGTCTTTTATACAGGTAACAAGCTGAGATTAGGAGCACTTCCTTTAAGAGTGTGCTCCTAATCTCAGCTCGTTACCTGTATAAAAGACACCTGGGAGCCAGAAATCTTTCTGATTGAGAGGGGGTCAAATACTTATTTCCCTCATTAAAATGCAAATCAATTTATAAAATGTTTGACATGCGTTGTTCTGGATTTTGTTGTTGTTATTCTGTCGCTCACTGTTCAAATAAACCTACCATTAAAGTTATAGACTGATCATATCTTTGCCAGTGGGCAAACGTACAAAATCAGCAGGGGATCAAATACTTTTTTCCCTCACTGTATGTATGATGTTGCCTAGTCACTTTATCCCTACCTCTACACTACCGGTCAAAAGTTTTAGAACACCTAATCATTCAAGGGTTTTTCTTTATTTTTACTATTTTCTACATTGTAGAAGGGTGGCTATTTGAAGAATCTCAAATATAAAATATATTTTCATTTGTTTAACACTTTTGGGGTTACTACATGATTCCATATGTTTTTATTTCATAGTTTTGATGTCTTCACTATTATTCTACAATGTAAAAATAGTAAAAATAAAGAAAAACCATTGAATGAGTAGGTGTTCTAAAACTTTTGACCGGTAGTGTATGTACATACAGTGGGGAGAACAAGTATTTGATACTGCAGATTTTGCAGGTTTTCCTACTTACAAAGCATGTAGAGGTCTGTAATTTGTATCATAGGTACACTTCAACTGTGAGAGATGGAATCTAAAAAAAAAAATCCTGAAAATTAAATTGTATGATTTTTAAGTAATTAATTTGCATTTTATTGCATGACATAGGTATTTGATACATCAGAAAAGCAGAACTTAATATTTGGTACAGAAACCTTTGTTTGCAATTACAGAGATCATACGTTTCCTGTAGGTCTTGACCAGGTTTGCACACACTGTAGCAGGAATTTTGGCCCACTCCTCCATACAGACCTCCAGATTCTTCAGGTTTCGGGGCTGTCGCTGGGCAATACGAACTTTCAGCTCCCTCCAAAGATTTTCTATTGGGTTCAGGTCTGGAGACTGGCTAGGCCACTCCAGGACCTTGAGATGCTTCTTATGGAGCCACTCCTTAGTTGCCCTGGCTGTGTGTTTCGGGTCGTTTTCATGCTGGAAGACCCAGCCACGACCCATCTTCAATGCTCTTACTGAGGGAAGGAGGTTGTTGGCCAAGATCTCGCGATACATGGCCCCATCCATCCTCCCCTCAATATGGTGCAGTCGTCCTGTCCCCTTTGCAGAAAAGCATCCCCAAAGAATGATGTTTCCACTTCCATGCTTCACGGTTGGGATGGTGTTCTTGGGGTTGTACTCATCCTTCTTCTTCCTCCAAACACGGCGAGTGGAGTTTAGACCAAAAAGCTCTATTTTTGTCTCATCAGACCACATGACCTTCTCCCATTCCTCCTCTGGATCATCCAGATGGTCATTGGCAAAGTTCAGACGGGCCTGGACATGCGCTGGCTTGAGCAGGGGGACCTTGCGTGCACTGCAGGATTTTAATCCATGATGGCGTAGTGTGTTACTAATGGTTTTCTTTGAGACTGTGGTCCCAGCTCTCTTCAGGTCATTGACCAGGTCCTGTCGTGTAGTTCTGGGCTGATCCCTAACCTTCCTCATGATCATTGATGCCCCACGAGGTGAGATCTTGCATGGAGCCCCAGACCGAGGCTGATTGACCGTCATCTTAAACTTCTTCCATTTTCTAATAATTGCGCAAACAGTTGTTGCCTTCTTACCAAGCTGCTTGCCTATTGTCCTGTAGCCCATCCCAGCCTTGTGCAGGTCTACAATTTTATCCCTGATGTCCTTACACAGCTCTTTGGTCTTGGCCATTGTGGAGAGGTTGGAGTCTGTTTGATTGAGTGTGTGGACAGGTGTCTTTTATACAGGTAACGAGTTCAAACAGGTGAAGTTAATACAGGTAATGAGTGGAGAACAGGAGGGCTTCTTAAAGAAAAACTAACAGGTCTGTGAGAGCCGGAATTCTTACTGGTTGGTAGGTGATCAAATACTTATGTCATGCAATAAAATGCAAATTAATTACTTAAAAATCATACAATGTGATTTTCTGGATTTTTGTTTTAGATTCCGTCCCTCACAGTTGAAGAGTACCTATGATAAAAATGACAGACCTCTACATGCTTTGTAAGTAGGAAAACCTGCAAAATCGGCAGTGTATCAAATACTTGTTCTCCCCACTGTATCTACCTCAATTACCTCATTCCCCTGTAAATCGACTCGGTACTGGTACCCGTGTATATAGCCAAGTTATCGTTACTCATTGTGTATTTATTCCTTGTGTTATTATTTTTCTATTATTTCCCTTTTTTTCTCTCTGCATTGTTAGAAGCACTTGTAAGTAAGCATTTCACTGTTAGTCTATACCTGTTATTTACGAACCATGTGACCAATAAAATTTGATTTTTTTACTTGATTTGACTGCTCTAACCTGTGAAGACAGGAGGGAGGATGGACATTTACATTTTGGCTTGTTTGAAAGCTACTCAGTGTTCTCTCCAGGCAGGCACACAGTAAACAGAGAACAGCTCATTTACATGCACCACAGACACAGGGAAAGAGGAAGCTGCACTCACAGTAGTACTCCACTGGCTTATGGCTTTCACATCTTACTCACTTATTTCCTATAAATCCTGAAAGAGAAAGAAATAATAAGAGCTTATGTCTGAAGTGAATGTAACATCACTCAGTATTCCGGAATGCTCTAAATAAGCATTTATTTATTCATTTATTCTTTATTCTATTTTTTTGTGAGTCATCTACATATGGGAGCGAGCTGACGCATTGTTGAAATACTAATTACCTAGCATATATTCTAGTTAGCGGTTAGACATATCACATGGGTGATATTAATAGGGCCAGGAGTTTTTCCTGACCAAGGGACCTCACCAGGTAAAAACTCTGGGCTCTATACCGAGACCGGTCTCGAGTACTACAACACCGCAGTGTAGTATTGTGTTGTTACAGTGTAATAATGGTTTGCTGTCCCAACCTGGTCTCAGAGCATTTTGTATTATTCTGTATGTAAATCTGAGAAACTCAGTTTAGTATGATAACTTAGGTTTCGTATGGTATGCATTAATTTGTGGTTATCCATCACCCATTTCGTATGATATGTTACAAATTACAATTCGTATTATATGTTACGAATTAGAAAACGTACAATATGTAACGAATTTGCAAAATGTAGGATATGTTACGAATTCTAGCTAGGTGGCTAACGTTAGCTAGCTTGATAACGTTATTTAGGCTTATGTAACCATACCAAACATAACATATCATACTAATTTGAGTACCCTGGTTTTACAGTTACTATATTATGTCTAGTCTATGAGACCAGGCTGGCTGTCCTGTAGCTTACCTGCCTATGTCCTTGGCTGCCTGTTCATTGGGGCAGTTGATGAGGAGGACAGAGTGGTGTCCAGGTACGTAGCTCCCCATGAAGGCAGAATGGAGCTGGACACCGAGGGCTCTCAGCATGGGATACATGGACATGGTCAACACCATTCCCTGGAGAAGAGGACAGAAAGAAGAACAGCAACACAAGTCACTTTAATACAATCATAGGTGTCACCCTCACGGTAACAAATTGCTGTAAATGTACAGCAAAACTTTCACAGTTAGCTAATGTAATTCTAAATTACAGTACCGTACTGTTCCGCTACCCTGCTTTAGAATTACAGCAGCATACTGTGAATTATGGTGCATTGGCTCATTAACATATTTTAAGTGGCTATTTTTGTTGCACCCGTTAGTGAGAATGCTGTACCAATTGAACTGATTTAAAGTACAGTATATAGGGTACAGATCAGAATGACAGTGTGTCGTAAACCGCTAATTGTTGAATATTTAGCAGTGTCCTTTTGATTTGTTTTGCCCTGTAATCACAGCCAGTTTGGAAGCCTTTGTTTAGGCCTCTAGAAGTTATTAAACATAAAATATTCATAAATATACTGTAATATACAAATACCTAGCAGCCAACCTGCTTGTACTAATCCCATGTAATTACCGTAAAATACCAACATGATTACAGTAGCATATATTTTCTTACAGTATAGTATGCTAATTTCACAGTTTTGTACTATGTCATTGCTCTGCATTTTACAGTAACTTACAGGAAGCTGGTGGCAAGTTACTGTGAATATTACAGTAATGTACTTTGCATTAGCCAGAGATGGGCAAAGATACATCCAAAAGGTATCTTGTTACAAATACAGGATATTTTGAAGACCAATGTATCCTTAACTAAAACAACATTCCCAGTAAAGGATATAGAAATGTTTTACTTGCTATGACTGTGATATGTGTTTTTTTTTTATCAACCTTAGATGAATGCACTGACTGGAAGTCGCTCTGGACAAGAGCGTCTGCTAAATGACCAAAATGTAGTTCAGCCAGTGAAATACAAATTACAAAATAGGTATTGGAAGTATTGAAATACCTATATCAAATACATGTAACAGAAATACTGCCCGTCGTTGGCACTACCTGCACTGTAAATCTGCAACAGTTTACTAACCACTCTGCTTCCAGGATTGCACTATAAATTCTAGAAATACAGCATGTTACTGTAGTCAGATGTTCCAGTAATAGGCTGTACATTTGTGTTACAGTAAAAGTCCTGTAAATCTACAGTAATTTACTGGCTTCTGTGCTGTCAGTAAAATACTATAATTTTACAGTAACCTTCTGGCTACTGTGCTGCCTGTAATTTCCTTTAAAAATTACAGGAAATGTTTTACAGTGCACCTTGAGATGGTAGTAATGATGATGACATAACAAAGTAATGCTTTTACATATATTTTTATTTAACCTTTATTTACTCAGAATACCTGTTTCCCCAAGGGAGAAACATGTTGCCCTTAATCACAGATATAGTATTAGATACAGTACCCTACCACAAATCCTAACCTTAACCATTAGTGAGCTGAACACATATCTGAACCTGCATCAGTGTTTATAGGGACATCTTCCCACTATATGCCTACATCACGTCTCTGAGTTGAGGTCACTTCAGGACATGTTGTGAAAGGAGTCAGCACCCTGATGGAAAGGAGTCCCGACCCTGGTGGTCATTCATTGGTCAGTGAACAAAGCCAGGTATTATCCCTATAACTGTCCTCTCAGAATGCTGGAATGCTGTGTATGGGATACAGCTTGGTGACTCTCTCTGTCCTCTATCCTCGTATTATTGCACTGCCACAGCTGAATGGTTAGTTGGAACAGACAGTGGCCAATTTATAATCCGCTCTCTGTCTCTGCAGCCTCTATCTCTGCTTCATTGCAAGCGACATGGCATGAGATGGAATGATTAGCGTTTCACTCCATATTAAAGTGACCCCACTTCCCCGTCCAAAACATCCGTCAATATTGTTTATTATAAAATAGACACATTTCACGTAGGCCAATTAAATACATATGTGACTAGGCCAATTTGGTGAGGGTTGCCCTATATAATTTAACTGATCTTATATAGCTAATTTGTTAATTATTGCAACAAAACTGCATTCCAACGCGTTAATAATTTGCCACCTGCTGGATACATTATATAATTTTATTCAACAAAATAATTAACTTACCATACAGATCACGAACAATCCCAAACGACAGAGAGTTTGAGCTAGGAACTCCCTGTGACATCTTGGGTACAGCCAGTCCATTTTACTGCCAGCAACAAATGTCATTCTGACCGAGTTATTCAAACTGTCAGGTCCGGGAGAGAGTGAGGTCGAGAACAGAGGCACCTTGTCCTGGAGAAGGGGAGAGTAGGCAGCTAACATCTAGGCAGCTATGTGCTTACCCTCACCAATAAAGTTCTCACTTCATAGTCTGCGAGTCATTTCTTGTGAATAATAGTCTATTTTTAATGTGCAAAATCTGCAAAAGTAAACTTTACTCACTTTTCTGCTGGTGAAGCCACATTTCTGTGGATCAGCGCAGTGACAGGTAGGTAGGATAGGACGGTCAAAGGCAACAAGAATCCGCTTGTCATTGGATGTTTGACACTTTCTGATACACCAGCGTCCAATCAAACACCGGTTTTGCCCAGGTCGCTACCCGAACTCCTGGCATAAGCAGCTTTTGCTCTGTAATAAACAAGTGCTTTTCGCTGGATTCGTGATAGAGAATAGAGAGAGGGAGGTATGTTGTTTGCAGATTAGGAATATAAACGGTTTAATTTTTGTGGGCTATACTGTAGGCCCGCTTGTTTGACAGGAACAATTTAGTAGATCTGCCAAAAATATGCACGATAAAACAGCTCCGTTGACCTGCAAACCAACATCAGGGCCAAGGCATCAACAACACAATAATGGTTGAGTTTATTGAACAGGCAATTCGTAATTGTAAAATACATCAATATGTTATGATAAAAACAATGACATAATGACATGCCCTAAAAGTATTGCCACCACTTGTTTAATCGTTTTAACACAGCTAATCGCTCACTGTGAATAAATAGATAATTTGAGGAACTTGGTTTTCTTTATCATTGGCATCAGACATCTTCTTCCATTATTCAAGACACTGGCTGCTTTCAGATTCTCTACCCTGGCTTCACCCAGTTAGGGAGAAGGGTAGAGAATTGGAATATAGCCACTGACTTCCAATAAGGGCACATCCACAGAGGGCATGGTGGAGGACTTTGACAGGGCACACCCTTTAAATAAAATAAAATGTATTTATAAAGGCCTTTTTACATCAGTAGATGTCACAAAGTGCTATACAGAAACCCAGCCTAAAACCCCAAACAGCAAGCAATGCAGATGGAGAAACACGGTGAGTAGGAAATACTCCCTAGAAAGGCAGAAACCTAGGAAGAAACCTAGCGAAGAACCAAGCTCTGAGGGGTGTCCAGTCCTCTTCTGGCTGTGCCGGGTGGAGATTATAAGAGTACATGGCCATTAAGGACAGATTGTTCTTCAAGATGTTCAAACGTTCATAGATGACCAGCAGGGTCAAATAATAATTACAGTGGTTGTAGAGGGTGCAACAGGTCACCACCTCAGGAGTAAATGTCAGTTGGCTTTTCATAGCCAAGCATTCAGAGGTCAAGACAGCAGGTGCAGTAGAGAGAGAGAGAGAGAGAGAGAGAGAGAGAGAGAGAGAGAGAGAGAGAGAGAGAGAGAGAGAGAGAGAGAGCGCGCAGTGAGAGAGAGGAGGGATGGTTATTCAAAGATAAATAAATGCTAATGAGTCGGACTGTTCATGCGGCCTGTTCATGTGGCCAGGTGAAAACAGCAGGTCTGGGACAAGGTAGCACATCCAGTGAACAGGTCAGGGTTCCATAGCCGCAGGCAGAACAGTTGAAACTGGAGCAGCAACATGACCAGGTGGACTGGGGACAGTCATGAGTCATCAGGCAAGGTAGTCCTGAGGCATGGTCCTAGGGCTCAGGTCCTCCGGGAAGGGAGGGAAAGAGGGAGAGAGAGTGAGAATTAGAAGGAGCATACTTAAATTCACACAGGACACCAAATAAGACAGGAGAATTACACCAGATATAACAGACTGACCCTAACCCCCCAGCACATGACACAACAGACTATTGCAGCATAGATACTGGAAGCTGAGACGGGGACGGGGGACGGGGGGGTCGGGGGACACTGTGGCCCCTTCCGAGGATTCCCCCGGACAGGGCCAACCAGGCAGGATACAACCCCACCCACTTTGCCAAAGCACAGCCCCCACACCACTAGAGGGATATCAACAGACCACCAACTTACTACCCTGAGACAAGGCTGAGTATAGCCCACAAAGATCTCCTCCATCGCACGAGCCCAAGGGGGCGCAAAACCAGACAGGAAGATAATGTACAGATAAGATAAGCTACTGTAACTGTAAGATCCTGCTGGTAGAGAAGAGGTCATAAAAGTATACAGTCAGTTGTCATAAGCTGACACCAACAATTATATGACTGTTTATGGCATTTATCATAGCTATGACCATATTATGTAGCTGTTGGTTCTTTCCACGAAATGTGTGCCTTTTGCATCCCTTTGATATTTTAAGTAGAATTCGTGCACCAATATTGCATTTTAAAAGCCTGTTATATTAAATGGAGTGCCCTTTAATATAGACCACATGGAACATTCAATAAATCCGTTTTTTATATATGAATAAATGCTTGCTAAAGTGCCAAAATTCTGTATTTAGACATGTCCCTCCATCAACCCTGTGTCACTTCTAGGAAGATTTCAACCCACTTAATCCAAAAATGTATGCAAGTTTCACCATCATTGTAAAGCCCTAATTATTTTGTTGCTTTGACAAAGTCATTTCTGAAGATTATTATTCATTTAATGTGATTAGTAATTCATTTACTACTGTCCCTCATTCTATGATTAACCTTGTTATGTAAACTGAACTTTCATTTAATATGGTGAAACTAGTCCCTACATTTTTTTTCTCTCGAAAGAAACATTGAACATCTGATCGTCAAATCATAGTGTAAAACCAGGTGAGCTGGTTTTACTCTTTTTGGCCATTTTGGTGTTTTGTGGTGGAAAACTGAGCTGGTCGAGCTGTTACCCATAGATAGACAGCCTAGAAATGTTGCAGCAATAAAAAAATGTGGGTGAAGCTTGCATTCAATTGCCACTTCCTGTTGCACACAACAAGGTTCCATTCCCCCTCTCACAAGGGGATTTATGGCTGATTTAAGATGAAATTGTCAACCCTGTCACGGTCAACCCTGTTACTTTATTTGGCAATTAATAGGCACTTACTATAGTAATTTTTCATTTATTTAACCTCTTGAGATGGGAAAACGTTTTATTAAGTTGAAAATGTGCTCTTTATGACAGAATGTTAAAATGAGATGAAATCAAACGTTTAGTTGTTTTACCAAGTTACACTTTGTTAAAGGCACCGAATCAGAAGGACATCCCTGTTATGATTGAGGTGGTCTGGTGATTAAAAAAAGGAAAGAGCAGAGAAGATGATACATAAAAGGATAAACAGCTCCATGATTGCCCCATGGTTGAGTTGTAGTTGGTAGTAGACAGTCAATTGACATCTGCTTCAGTATCAGGAGGATGAACCAGACCCACACCCCTCTCAATTAAAGCCTGTCAAACCTGTGGTGCCATAATGCATAGTCGCCGCAAGATGGCGGTGTAGCTTCACATATCTTCTCCTTCATGATCTTCCCTCCAATGTGAAAACAAAAAATTCAGGGCACTCGCTCAATCCACATGTCAAAATAGGCAATAACCAGAATATACTGTAACAACACAGGCTTTGTCCAAGAATGAAAATAGTGTGACTCATCCGACCAGTTCAATCTCCCTCCCCACCCATGACCCCTCCGCTTTGTGTGTGTGTGTGTGTGTGTGTTTGTGTGTATCTATGTGTGTGTGTGTGTGTGTGGTTGTCTAGCTGTCTAGCTGTCTCATCCTGCAACGGTGCAGATCAAAGAGTTCACAGCATTGGTCGCAACCAGGGCCACATCCCCCAGAACCAACCAATTTATTTCCCCTCTCAGTCGACTCACACAGGCTTCATTGAGAGGCCCGTCAGAAACCGATAGAGCCACTTAAGCCACTATTCCCTAACATGAAAGAGGACAACCGAAATAGAGGGATGGGTGGAGAAAAAAAGAGAGGAATGGAAAAAAGGGAGTTAGGGAGAGAGGCGTTTGATCTGCTCGTTCTGGGGCATCACTCAGTGGGGTGGGGTGGTTCCCTAGGAGTTCAGTAGACAGCGTTTGTGGTGCCTTGGAATTTAAAGTTGGATGTAGTCTCCTGAGTGGCGCAGTGGTCTAAGGCGCCGCATCGCAGTGCTAACTGTGCCCCTAGAGCTCCTGGTTCAAATCCAGGCTCTGTCGCAGCCGGCTGTGACCGGGAGACTCATGGGCGGCGCACAATTGGCCCAGGGTAGGGGAGGGAATGGCCGGCAGGGATGTAGCTCAGTTGATAGAGCATGGCGTTTGGGGTTCGATTCCCACGGGGGGCCAGTATAAAAAAATAAATAAAAATAAATGTATTCACTAACTGTAAGTCGCTCTGGATAAGAGCGTCTGCTAAATGACGTAAATGTAAAATAGAGGTAAATAATGAGGCCACAAGTTTAAATAATGAGGCCACAAGTTTAAATAATGAGGCCACAAGTTTGTAAAAAAAAAGAACTGTGGAAGAAGTTAAAGAGAGAATAGGGAAAGAGGGATGAGTGGGGAAATGGAGAGGAGTGACAAAGGAGATGAGCCAATAGAGAAGGTGAAGAAAGAGAAGTCTAAAGAAAGAGTGTAAGGAGTCAAGAGGCAGAGGGCGTCAAATGAGGGCTGACAAAAGAGAGTAATAAATAATGAAGAGAAAGATGAAAGGAAAGGAATCATGAAAAGACAAGCAGAACCGTCAGAGGAGACAGGGTGAATAGTGACCTTCAAAACTGTCTCTCTCCTCCCTCTCTCTATTTGTGTGTAGGTTGAAGAAGGGAAGGATTGGGGTGGAAGGGTGGAGTGGTAGGTAGGGGGTCAGGTGAGGCCTAACGAGGGGTTTTCCCCGGTAGTGATTAGAGCTAAAGGAAGAGGAGGCCATAGAGGTTAATTACAGAGTCATACTTGGACAGAGTGAGTAAGCCATCCATCATGTGATTCCTGGGGTTGGTTGCTGCTTTGCTACCTGTACTGCAGTCCCTGAATGATGACTCAACCAAGCCACAACCACTGACTGACTGACTGTAACAATAA